ACCCAGAGCCCATAACAATTACCCATGCAAATCTGTCCCACACATCTGCACTGGGAAGCCCCAAAAATTAGCAGAGGAAGCTAGAAAGTCTGTGCTAGTGAGGTGGAGGATCTGTGCCAGCAGGCTGAGGGTTCTGTACCGGAGCCAAGAAGTGATGCTCAAAATAAGGACCACAGCTCCCATGAAAAGTACCATAGCCATCCTCAGTGACAGTTATCAGGGACCTGGCTTAGATCTCCTGTCTCCCAAATGACTGTACAATGAAGGCTAAAATGGATGACATAAGTGGTATGATTTTAGGGCTCCAGAAAGCTCAAAACCCTTTGAGGAATTCAAGACTCTAGGGACTAAGACAAGAAATGTCTCTGGGCAGCCATGTTTAGTTTTTCAAACAAGGAAGGGGTTAAGATTAGAAAACAAATGAAACTGAACAGACCTTGGGAGTGGTTCAAGGATTGCCAAATAACAGATTATGTTTCATTTAGGAGAAGATCTCCATGTTGCATTTCACTACAGGAGTCAAATGCCTGCAGCTAGTTTTTATTTAGTTAATTTGGGTTGGAGCCAGGTGTCCTCAGCTGTGACCTTATCTTGCCCTTTGAGGTGGCTCTTTGTTCTGGCTCAGAACATGCCCCCACCTTGCTGCAGCCCTGCATGTGTGTTCAATTTCTAGTTTCAACAGCTCCCAACAGAATGAGGCTCTGAGCTCCTCTAACAATCAGAACAACTGAGTATGTACCAGGAAATGAACATGACAAACTTCTGGAAATTAAACACATAACTTCCCCTTCAGAGCCAGGAAGCAGTGCTAAATGTGAGGACCAGAGCTCCCCCCAAAGAGAACCACAGCCATTCTCAGTGACAGGGTGCCAAGCTCTTCTGAAGATAACAGCCAAGTTCATATCAGGGGGAGCCAGCATGACGAGCTCCTCCAGGAGAACCAACGGCTCCAAACAGCTACATTGAGGAGAACCCACAATGTTACTCTTCGTCTCCAGGTCTCCTTTTATGCACACAGCTGTCCTCAGGTGGGCCATCCACGCTTAGCTCCATACCAATTCAGTTCAGCTGGTATTTAAGTTGGCCACCAGTTACCATTGCACCACACATGTATCTTCCACCAAAAGCTTGCAGGGAAAAATGAGGAAATCTTATCTGGATGAGAATATATTTCCTAATCCCTTCAGTGTTTTCGAAGGCTTCTCTGTAAAAGGTGGCAGAGAAAACATCTTGTGGCTGATACATGCTTGGAGACATTCAAAATGTACAAAAATTAGGACTTGAAAGGGGACTGGATTTCTCTAACACCACACCCATACTGCTGGCCAGGAGTTTATGCAGATCATGTTAAAATTAAATACTATGTCCCAGACACAGCACAGACCTTTGCCAAGCATCCTGGACTGTTTTAGCATGCGTTATGGCCGGGAAGTGATTCTCTTGAGACTTTGTGTGATGCTATGAATCTCTCTTTGCCTCTCCTTTTGGCAGAACTTTCCTGTAAGCCTGTGGGATTAAACCAGAAGCTGTGATGTTTGCCTTACAGGAAGTCATTGGTAAAGACCAGATCTTGGTGTGATTTCACATTTGTCAGCTAATCTTTTAGGCTGGCCATTATCCAGAAAATGTGAATTTCACAAATCACAACTGGAGTTCACGGTTGGGACAAAGCGAGCTGCCAGATTGTTACAAATCTGTTGTTTCACTCAGGAGATATATTTCATGGTGCAGAATTTAGGTGTTTTCCTTTTAGTAACACTGAAGTGTGGAACCATAAATGTGAGCTAATAGAAGATGGTTTGTGTACAGTAGTACTCAACAGGATTAAGAGACGTATAAAATGAAATCCATTCCTTTCTTCTTATACGTCTCTCCCTTTACTTTGCAGGTAGAAAAATAACTTAGTAGAGATGATTAACGTACATTGAAAAGCCTAGCAACATAAAATAGTATACCTTTGTGAATGAAGATAGAGAAGTGAAATTAGAAGAGTAGAATATGCTATTCTCAGAAAAGCCAAAAGATGAATAATGGTACCTTTGCTGAGAGGTTAAGCTAAACAAGATAACAATAGGATTCTCATGATAAGAATATAACATATTTTATTAATTGAAGTATAACCCCCTGCTCACTCCAATGATACATCAAAATCTCATCTAACCTAATCTCTGTTTCAGATATAATTTAAGAAATTACTAAGGACCAATGGGAAATAAGAAAATTCACTGACCATCTCCATAACACCACAGCTAGTTGATAGTTTTAGGATTCAGCTCTAACAACTTTGTGAATGCTTTAATCTTCTTCCGTCGCAGTGCTGATCTTGCTTGGGACATAGAAAATAACTTCTCTGGTTAGTGTGGAGGAATGACCCAAATTCCAAATGTGACAGAAGTTGTATGTGATGTGTTAATGTCGTTTTAGCTCTTTTAGCCCTTTGCTCTTTTAGCAAGAGCGAAGTTAAAAGGGTTGTAACTAATTTCTGAAAGGGGATAAATGAATGAATGAATAGTTGCATCCTTAGTTGACCTGACAGTGGAAGAACACCGGTTAATCTTAAGTATGTTAGATTACAGAGAAGGTGGGCCGTTTGTCCGCCATTGGAATTATGTGTCAAGCCAGTTTTAAGAACACGTGGGTTTGAGGTCACCCCAGTGACAGCTGGCCAAGTACAAGAACACATGCATTAAATAGAATAAAATTTTGTTATCTGTAAATCGATACGACCTGATTAGGATAGCACAGGGGAGTTTCCCTTTGGTCTTGTGAATCAAGTGAAACAAAGGAGACATAGAGATTACAGATATTAGAGAACGGTTTTGGTAGAGGTGATTAAATAGCCCCACTAATAAAATACATCTCTCTGTTTAAACATAAAATTCATGGAAATAAAAATTACTGGAAATGTGTTTGTCAGTGATACTTTGTGTGGTTCTCTTTGTTAATACTTGCATTACTAACAGCATTATAACCAGAAAGTCTAGAATCATCCAGACAAAAAGCTCCAGAAAGCATGGAAAGGGAAGACATAATTGATCTAAAATGAGATGGAGGTCTGAGGACATTCTTAAGAGGATGGATCATTTTTGTTACCAGAATTTCATGGCCAAAGCCCTGGTAGGGTCACTCTGCCCCAAGCACCAGTCAAGCACTTGAGCGAGAATGGAGGTTTTTCTCAGTTTGGCCGTGCTGGGGTGGGACAGATGTGTCATTGAGGGGCTGACAGAAGCTTTGGCATTTTATGGGAAAAGGGGAAGTTACTTTTCACTCATCATTCATCACTGAGACAAAATACCTGATGCCCAAAGTTGGGAAAGGAAAGGTTTATTTCTTACAGTTTTTGGAGGTTTCAGTCCATACTCAGTTGGCTCAAAGGCAGGATGGCATGGCAGGGCTGCAGTTCATGGCCACTGCAAACAGCAAGGCAGAAACTGGCAAGAGAGAGACACACCTTTTTCCTGCCATTACATTATATGCTGACTCCACTCCTAGGCGGGTGTAGCACTGACACCTTCAATCTAAGCTCTAGACAATGAACCAATCACAAATGCATAATGCAAAAGCATGGGGCTTGGGAGCCACCAACATAAACCATGACAAGAACAAAGGCCAGGGTGGGAGGATTGTATAGCCCGGTTAGATGATCATGGTCAGGCTACGGTCTGGTTCATCTGTATCTCACCATTGGTTCTGCGAGGTGGACCTGGAGAAATTGGTTGATAGCCAGTTCGGTTCCCATGGTGCTGAGTGGGGGTGGCCTCATCATGAAATGAGTCTTCAGGGATCTGCTTTCCCTAGAATCCCAGGTGCCTGTAGGTTTGGGACAGTGACCTCCTAGGTTTGGGACAATGATCCTCCAATTTTAAGTGCTATGCAGGGTGTATAGAGTGAGATGTTAAAAATGACAGTTGAATGTCCCTGTAAATCGTGAAAATGCCTTTTCCATCTTGTTTTCCTCAATCTAGAAGGGTGATAAGACAGATTAGGTAATTTGAGAGCTGATATACCTCATATTACCAATTTTTAGACAGATGCTTGCTAAGTGGTTAACAGGCCTGTGTACAGGGCTGAATAATAATCTAACCCAGACTTTTGAGCTATCAAAGGAGACAGATACAGACTGAAAGCAGAGCCATCAAGGTTTTACTTGCTTTTGTTCACACATCAGGCACCAGCAAGCCCAGCCTCTAAGTGTCTGTTATGTTTTATTACAGGAACCAAAACCCAGTGATGAAGAACCCAGCCTCTCTCTGAGGTTGGAAATGGGTTTTCCATTCTCTCTCCCCTTTAGTCTTGGGTTCCAGTTGGTATTATTTACTATGATGTTTTAGAAGATGTGGAATACTCCACCAGTGACATTAAATATTTAAGGCTCAGAATTAAAAGTTTCTTAATTCTGAAAATGTCATCTTCTTTGGGCTCTTTCTCAAGAGATGGAGCACTGAAAGAAATCCAAGCATGTGTAGCTGCCCATGTTGTGACTAAACACATTCTCATTCTACACCCCACATCATTTACCCACTGTGAGTTGGTTTGGATATTCTCCGTGGCTGATTAGAAGTCTCAAAACATTTTCTTTAAATATGGAATCAAAAGATGTGATATTTTCTTCCTCTCTCAAGGTGCAAAAATTCACATTTATTTCTACCAGGAAATTATGTGAAAGCATGTAATATGACTTAAAATAAAAAGCCCATCAATTAAGGCAGGCTGCACTGGCTCTGTCTTCATATTTTATCTGGCCACCGTGATAACTGTATCAGGGTATGGGCTCATTTGCAGTCTTTTGAGATATCTTGGAAGGAACTGGATATTTTGGAATGTTCCTTTTAACGATGTTTGTTGAATACTTGTTTTGAGGCCACGTGTGATTTAGCAGTACTAAAATAAACAAGATTATTATCAGGGCTTATGGAGCACCTGACTGGGAAGGTGAAAAAACAACAACAACAAAAAATGCTTCTTGTCTTTCTAAGGGATCTTTTTCTCTGTCTGGACAGGTGGATGTGATCCATTACAATGCGTCTTGTTGGATTCTGTCACATTCCGGCGGTGCCCCAAAGAAATGAAATCTGAACTTGTGCGTTGGGGTCCCTGAGCCCCACAGTGACAGGATTTGCTTTGATTCACGGAAGCATGGGTTCCTCATCAGCTACAGATCTGGTAAATTCATTGGCTTCACCCTTAAGGGTCAGTGTTTCCTGAAACTCTCATTCTGATTCTGCACAACCCTTAATGTTTTCTCCTCTTCCCATAAAGCCTTCCATATTCTCCAGCCCTTCTCTGAGGTTACGTGTATTTGTGCTCAAGAGGATTTTTTTTTTTGTACTGGGTATCGAACTCATGACCTAGTGCTTGCCAGGCAAGCACTTATGCCGCTGAGCTAAATCCCTGGCTCAAGAGGATATTTTTAAAACCTATTCCTGTGCAGTCCTTGTTGGCTCTTGTGCCCCGAACCCCAGAAAACTAGAGTCATCTGTTTTGTAGATGCTGCTAATGATTTCTAAAGAGAAAAGGAGAAAAGGAATAAGGAGATATTTTTCTGGGCTTCCGGAGCCCACTGTTCATTATATGAGAACCTGAGATGAACCAGGGAATGCTGAAGTCAGGCTTTATCAGAGAGAGAGGGGATGACAGCTAGCTTCACCTATCCAGAGGCAAGGCAGCTGCCCCATGGCCTGGCTTACTGAAGTCCTCTGGTGGACAGGACGGAGGGTAGCCCTTTAGCAGAGATGGCAAACCTTTTGCCTAATGGGTCAGAGCCTAAATATTTCAGGCTCTGCAAACAAAAGCTCTGCCTCCTGCTGGAAAAACTGCATAGGCCGTGTACAGGCTGGTGACTGTGACTGCATTCTCAAAAAGTTGTGATTTTTTTAGACTCTGAAATTTGAATTTAAATAAAACCCATAAGTAACAAAATCTTTTTTTTGATTTTGTCCCCCACGTCCTTGGCCATGACCATTAGAGAAGATAAAAGCCATTCTTAGTTCTTGGACCATTAAAAAAAGAGAGAGAAAAGAAGAGGAGGAAGAGGAGCCTGGATTTGGCTTTCAGGATAGTTTGTACATTCTTTAGTTTAATGGAAGAAGAGGAGGAGAAAGGGCAAGAAGTGTGGTAAAGATGGGAACAAAGATAGGTAAAGATGAGACAATGAAAATCGTAATTTTAAAATTGTACTTTTAAGAAAAATTTTAGTTACTCTAGGTTATGATGCTTTTTTCTCATCCAGGGAACTTCACTCAAAAGAAAAAAAAAAAATGCTCCTAGTCTGAAAGAGGCAACAAGCCGGTAAATGAGGGGTTCCTGCCACTCTGCTCCTCACTATACCTTTGGGTTGGGCCATTTCCTTTCCACTATCACATGACACATCCCCTTTCTTTTGTAAAGTGGGCCTTTCCCCTGTGAATGGGCCCACAATTTCACCTGTGAATTGAAGAATTCAAGTTGTAGAGCTTCACAGATTCCACAGATTTCTGCCTCTGACAACATGAAATCAGTTCCAGACTATTAGACACTGCCCTTAGGGGCCCCCCTGTGGACTCTCTGAATCTATGTATCCTTTTTAGTTGTAGTAAGCTAGTAAGCTTCTTTATCCTTTTTTCAGATAGCTTGAAGATTCTTTTTCTAGAGGATTCTTTTTCTTGATAAAGTCAGGTGAGCCAACAGTCACCCCCAAGAGTAGGGTGAGATGAGTTTTCTGATCTCCAGTTTAGGGAACCTCATCAGATCCTGCTCAGTAACAGAAGAATGGAGGGGGAGGGAGAAAGGGAGGAAGAAGGGGAGGAGGCGGCAGAGGAGAGAGGTGAGGAGGAAAAAGGAATCATGACATAGTCCAAGGTCATCGTAGTTCTACAGGCAGCTGACTTAGTTAGAAAGATTGCAAGCAGTCAGACAGCTGTGCAGTGGAATGAGCCAGTACAGAAGACCTGATACCTTGCAATCTTGGAAGAGACAGATATTTCCTATGGGCCAGGCCTCAAGATGAGATAAATCAGATGCACCCACATACTTCCTAAGGATAAGCACCAGGAATTGATATTCTAAATATGTATGGATCACCTTGAGGAAGCCAGGAGTCACCATCCTAGCTCCCTATATGAAGAGTCACTGCTCTATATTCATGCCCACTTGTTACAGGACTTGCTTCCTCATTTGTCCCCAATTAAATCAATTTTACCTGAACAGTTAATCTTACTGATTGACCATACCTCTGTCCCACCTGATGCCCACCTTATGAGTTCACATGTTTTCCCCATTTGGAACCCTGCCTCACCTTGTGGTTTTGCTCTGTAAAAGTTCTTAGAAAAGACCGAGTCTTTGGCAACCCACTCAGGATCCCTTCTGTCTCTCTCAGACAGAAGCTTTCTTTCTCTCAATAAATGTATTCTGCTTTAATCTCTATTCTTAAAGTTCATTCTTCGATTTTACAGAACATGAACTTGTACTGGACAGCTAGTAGGTGGAGGGTTTCATTCCCCTGTATCAATAGGGATGACAAAGCAGTAGCATCCTGGGCCTTATTTGCTATTGATAAAAACGTGATTTGTGTTTACTTCTGGGGCCATCAGGTATTTTAGAGCTCTTTTTGCTGTGAATTATAACTCTTCTCTTGGGCCTGTAGTTGGCAAATAGGTAACTAAAACAAAGCTTGGTCTGTATTTTGCAGTCTTTCTTTCTTTTTTTTTTTTTTTTTGCAGTTAAAATTTTTTTTTTATTTAAGGAGAAAAGAAAAAAAAACAGTGAAAGGGTACAAGTTATACAGATTTACAGAAGAAACAAATGAACAGTAGGAAATCACTAGTTAATGGATTACATATTGCCATCTTAGAAATAATTGATCAAGTCACAAAATTAAAGCTTGTAGAGTGGACATTCCAACAACGATACTGCAAACAGTTCTGTTCAATGATCCAATAAAACTCTGTGATATCATTTTCTATCTTATACACTTAAATATACATGCAGTTATGTAGTTTAGAGCACTTTCTTTTCCTCTCTTTTGTACAATGACTATTACACATTTTGGGTTTCATCGCTCCCACGGTTCTTATTGCTTTTTTGGAAGAGAGTAAAACCAAATGAGACATAACAGAACAGAATCGGTCAAGTCAAAAGTGTGGACATAATAGATAATATAAAAACATAATACAAGGTGATCAACAATGGTTACCATAATGCCTCCCGCTATCTCTAATAGAATTGCCTATATCATTAGTTATAATACAATTGAACAAAACAGTAAAGAACAAAACCGACAAAACCAAACCATTGGAGACATTGTAGGTGTTCAAAAGTAGATAAAAGTCAATGAGAATGGGCGTTATAATGAATCTCATTATCTTCACAGCTGATGCCTAAGCTTTCGAACCTGATACTATCCAGCAAAACAGAATAGGGGAACATCAGTCAAAAACAAGATGGTGAGAGTAATACAGGGCTTCAAATCGAGATAATAGAAAGTCAAAGTGGGTTACTATATTATATCCTGCTATTTTTTCCCTTTAATTAAACGGATAAAAATAAAAAAGTAAATAATGGAGTGGAGATTGAGAAAAAAGAGGGCATAACAGCGAAACAGCACAGATCAAAACATAACCATTTAAGCAGAATAGTGTTTCACCACCAGATAATTCCGACCCAAAAGTAGTTACCATATTGACTCTTTCCTTGAAGTCCTTGAGTACAACTTCGTATACTGTAGCATTAAGTATATCAAAACAATGTAAAACCATTTAAGAGAATGACAGCATTACAGAGTATTTAGAATCGACTAACAGAAAATGAACAATGGTTTCTGTATAATCTCCTTGTCTTTAAAGGGTTTTTGCTTATACTATCATACATAATAAAATCCAATAAGATACAACCTGTTTAGACCATTGGAGACAGAAGAACAAAAGCTAGATGAGACTTCAAAACAAGATGATACTAAATCAGTATTACTTATTAAGATGTCATTTTCTCCAAAATAGCTGTTCCTATCATCCAATCTTCTCTGTCTCATTTCTGTTGAGCTCTTTTTCTGTCAGTAGCTGTCAGTTTGTCTTCTTCATTTTGTTCTCTGCTCCATTCGTTGTGGCCTCCCCGCCACTATTTCTGGGTTCTTTGTATTTTTCTTTTTTTAGAATATCCTGCAATACCTTCTGTAGGGTTGAATTGGTGGTTGCAAATTCCCCCAGTTCCTCTTTATCCTGGAAGCAGCTTGTTTTTCCATCAATTTCCAGGGACAGTTGTGCAGGATATCTCAATCTTGGCTGGAGATTATTATCTTTCAAAGCTTGAATTATTTCCCCCCATGCTCTTCGTGATTTGATGGTTTGTGCAGAGAATTCTGCTGTAATTCTGATGGGTGTTCCCTTGTAAGTGGTCTGTTTCTTGTCTCTGACAGCTTTTAATATTCTGTCTTGTATTGAATTTCTGGAATTTTTATTATTATATGCCTGGGTGTTTCTCTGTTAGGGTTGTAGGTAGCTGGGGTCCTGTATGCCTCATACATCTGAGTATCTTTACCTTTTGCTAAATTAGGAAAATTCTCCTGGATTATTTCTGTAAGTAGTTTTTGTAGTTCACTTGTTTGTGTCCCTACTTCTTCTTTTATGTTCTTAATCCTTAAGTTATGGCTCCTCTTATCATCTTCTTGTCTTTGTATTATTGCTGTTTGTTTCTTTGTTATTTTTAAGAAGTTTTTCATTTCATTTTCCCATATTACAAGTCTGCCCTCCATTTCAGATAGTCTATCCTTAGTTTCTTTCAAGCTGTTATGCCAGTCTTGGATAGACTTCTTAATTTCTTGATAGTCCCTTTGAACCTGCTTCACGTACTCTATGCTTTCTCTGTTTTCTCCATCAAACAATTCTCCCCTCTTTTTCTGTTCTTCCATTCCACCATCTGTTTTTTCCTGGGTGGTGCTTAGCATTTCTCTAACTATTCTGCATACTTCTAGCTTCAGGTCGTTGATAACTTCATTCCTGAATTGGTCTATGAGACTCTCTATATGCAGTATTTCTTACTATAAATTGTGGTTCAAGTCTCTTTGTGGCTCTGCATAGGGCCTGTTGAACATGTAGGCTCTGCCTGGGAGCTGGCCAGATAGAGTCAGTTAGCTGGGAAGTTGTGTGATTCTGTCACAGGCAGTTGAGCTAATTAGAAATATTACAGGCAGTCAGACAGGGCAGGGCCCTCAGAGGAGCCAGAGCAGAAGTTCAGATAACTTGCAGCCTTGGAAGAGACAATCACCTCCTGCTATGGGCCAGATCTCAAGACAAAATGCAAAGCAAATACAACCACATCCTAAGTATCCACAGTCCAGATAGTTCTCTGTTACCCTGAGACAGTCAGGAGTCTTCTCCCTACAGGAAGAGTCCCTGTTGTTAAACATGCCCGCTTACAATGTGGCTCACTCCCTTATTTGCTCCTAATTTAGTCAATTTTACCTGAGCAGTTGATCTTATTGGTTGACCACACTTCTGTCCCGCCTTATGCCCACCTTGCAAATTCCCAGTTTTTCTTATATTTGACTCATTTAACTTCATGATTTTACTCTATAAAAGTCTCTTGAAAAGACAGAGTCCTTGGTAACCTGTCTGGACCCCTTGTGTCTTTCTCAGACAGAAGCTTTATTTCTCTCAATAAATATATTCTACTGTTAACCTTGGTTGTTCCTAAAATTCATTCTTCAATTTTAGAGAACATGAACTTGTACCGGACATAGTAGGTCAGAAGTTTCATTCCCCTATATCAATGCCATCCCTTTCAAGTGTTAGGACACCAAGACAAGAGGGTCTTTCAGTTACAGAAGCCTCCAGCCACTGTCCTGGACCCATGATCACCTGGATTCTAGGAAAGGCAGAGACCCCACCTGATTGGGACCCCCACCCCCCCAAGATAGCCCTTTCCTGGAAATAAATTCATCCCTCAGCCATAAAGATCCTAGACCTGTGGCACTAAGACAGAGAAGACTATGGTCAGGTGGACCCCCCGGGCAGGCCATCACAGCATTTCATGTTCCCAGAGTGTGGACACTTTAGAAAATGCTTAAGGAAAATGTGATTACTTTTCTTGAACCCCAGTGTGAATTTGCACTGAATGGATTGAATGTTAAGAAGAAAGCTTACTGAGATCATTGTGTTGCATTCCATGAAATGTGTGAAGCACATTCTCTACTCTGATGATGGTAGGAGCATGAAAATTTTTCTTCCTTCCATTACCTCAAGTAGAAAATCAAATGGCCCAACCATTACATATAAAGGCTATATAGTTTCTTAAAATAAATACATCCATGTGCACATGCATATGTTTTTCTCCCTATCATCTATCTGTTTTAACTCAGACATTACTAGAGAGTGAATTGTAACCTCCCAGAAATTAGTATGTTGCATCGAAATACCAATTTCCTGTCCATCAGAATTTGTGTGTATTTGGAGATAGCAGCTTTAAAAAGATGACTGAGTTAAAATTAAATCACTGGAGTGTGCAGAAGCCAGCATGACTGGTGTCTTTTGAGAAGAAGAAATTTGGACACAGGTAGAGTAGGTATGTCATTCAAACATGAAGACAGAGAAAGTCACCCTTACTCCACCGTGATCTTAAGTTTCCAATGCCCTAATAAAATAAAATAAAATAAAATAAAATAAAATAAAATAAAGTAATTTCTGTCATTTAAGTCATACAGTGTGTGGTACTTTGTTACAGCAACCCCAGGAAATCATTGCCAAGGGTTTTTTGAGAATGCTGAGTTCTGGAATATGTTCACTGTTTATTCCTTCACATCTGAATGATAATCTTGCTCTGTGCATACTGTATGCAAATTTCTTCTCATAAAACCTCCAGTGCACATTAAGAGAAGTGTAGACATTCCAGTACATTAAAAACTGTCACACTGCTCTCATGTCAGTAAGAAAGCTACATCAGCAGGTTAGATGATTTTTGTTATTGTTACTTGGCTGATGCACATGGGTTTTTATGGAGAGAGAAAGCCAAAATTACTCAGATAACTTCCAAAGGCCATTTAGTGTAACTGATGAATTATATGCCCCTTGACCTCTGGTTGCTGGAGAAATGCAACAAATAGGATCAGTCCATCTCTGTCTATCTAGTGCAAAACATCACTTATAGATGCTGTCTGTAGTTTTCTTTGAAAGTGATTTGTAATCTTTATTTATACCTTTTTGGTATAAATAATGAATGGAAGTTATACTGCCAGTAAATCTGTGAAAAGTCTTTTTCAGCATTAACTCATGGGGCATAGGAAATAATTCTGCATTTGTTGGGTTTACATATTTTGGTGTGCTTGGGAGAAAACTTGTGATGGTGTGAACACTGACGAAGAGAGATGGTAGTGTGATAACCACCATCCTTCACCCACCCAAGCTGGACGTGTTGAGCACACTTGTAATCCTAGCATTCTAGGTGGCTGTCAAAAGAGGATCACAAGTTCAGCCTCAGCCTGGGGAATTTATCAAGATACTCCAAGAAAAAAAAATGTAAGGCCTTGGGTTTGGTCTCCAGGAACAAATAGACAGAACAACACCACCACCAACCCAGAATCACCAATGCACACATTGCCTCTGTCTTGTAAATGTTTTCTGAAGAATAAAATGATAGCCAATTGTGTAGCAGTTAGAGTTTAGTTATTAAGTGTCCCTCAGAGCAAGACAAAGAAGGCTTAATTACTAGTCTGTGGCACTACTGAGCAGAAGAAACTTTAAGAGGTGCCTGCTTGTGGGAGGAACCTAGCTCACTGATGCATACCCTTGAAAGGAGTATTGGAACCCAGCACCAGCTGCCATGAGGGGAGGAGCTATATTATGGCCCCACCCCCGTGATGTTCTGCCTCTCCACATTCCCAGAGTAATAGAACCAGAATCCATGGACTGCAGCCTCTGAAACCATGAGGTCAAATAAATCTGTCCTCCTTGTAAGTCTATTTCAAATGCATTGTCTCAGCAGTGGCAAGTTGACCAACAGGGAAATTGGGTCACATGATACTCATGTATTTGTCTTGAATGTCTTTTGGTAAACACTTGAAAGTTGGGAAAAACAACTATCTTATACTAAAAAATTGTCTAACTAAAAAAAGCCTCCACATCCTGAGCCATGATACATGATAGATGGACTTTCATCTTCCAAAAGCTGTGAGCTGTGAGCTCTATTCTTTATAAAGTCAACAGGTCTCTGGCATTTCATTACAGTATTGGCAAGCAGACTAATACTGTAGGAGAAGAAAACCAACCCATTGTTTCAAAGTGTGTACCTGCAACAAGTCCAAAGAGATTCATAAACTCCACTGCGGTTGTGTAAAGGTAACTTCCTGAAACTGCAAAGCAAGCATATGAAAATATTTCTGATAGCTCCACCTCCACATAGAAGTCATACATACTGTGAGACAAGTCCAACCTTTCATGTAACACAGATATAATGAGAATTATTACAGAGACATCCAGTGGCTTCAACAGTGACAAGGCGGAAGACAATGCAGTTAATTTTGTTTGAACTCCAAATAGAAATACATGACCAAAACAAGAGAAGAGATTTCCCAGACTGCACTCAGTGGTGAATCAGCTCACTAATGCACTCTTTAGGTACAACAATGAGAGACTATAAAAGCAGACCTTCCTTTCGCTAACAGCATTCCCATTTCTCCAAGGATGAGTGTTGACGGGAGAATTTGAGTGAAGGTCAGTAACCAACACAACAGAAGACTGCAGGAGGCCTATGTTTTATTTTAAAATATTTTTCTTTGTCCCAAATATAGAAGATATTGCAAAAGGGAGAAAAGCTTTTGTGAGCCTTTCATTCAGAGGTCTGTTGTGCTACAAATACCATTAAAGACTATACTGTCCTTACTGAGCTTTTCTGGATAATCAAGGTATCTAGGGAATTTTTGGAAGTTCACTAACTCAGGATGAATAACAAGGAATTTGGGGAACCACTTATTCTTAACAGTTTTCCTACTCTGGTGTCTTGGTTACTTTTATCTCATTGCTGAGACAAAAACACCTGATGCCCAAAATGAAGGAAGAAAAGATGTATTTTGCTTACAATTTTTGGATGTTTCAGTCCACACTCAACTAGTTCCAAAGCAGCCTCCAAGCAGAGGTGCTGAGGGGCAGTTGTTCACCGCGGCTACAGGTAACAACAAAAATTGGAAAAAGAGGAAGTATACCTTCTTCCCTCCTTCAAATTGTATGCCAGCTCCCCACCCATGGGTGGTGCAGTACTCACACCACCAATCCTAGCCCTAGACAATGAACCAATCAGAAATGCTAGACTCAGCCACCTCTATAACTGCATGAGGCTTGGGGGGGGGGCATCCAAGCACAAACCATAACATCTTGCAAAGTGGTGTACCACTTGCTATGGTTTGAAGATACATATCCCTCCAACATTTATGTATTAGAAGCTATAACTCAGAGTGGTTAATATTTGGAGGTACCCTTAGGAGATGAATAGGTCATGAAGTATGCTCCTTCATGAGGAAGTTAGGGGCCTTATAAAAGGGTACTGGTATTGCTCCTTTTCTTATTTTTTTTATTTTTTTTTTTTGTTTTGTTGGAACCAGGAGTTGAACTGAGGACCTTGCGCTTGCCTGTCAGGTGCTAGGGCATTGAGCCATACCCCTAACCCCTGGTGTAACTCTTTTTCTATTTGCCTTCCTCTATGTGAGCCACAGCAAGAAGACACCACATTAGAGCCAACAGCATCCTTCAGTACATACTGGATCTGCTCTAGCCTTAATCTTTGGTTCTGTATGAGAAATATATTATTCCTCAGTTGCTTTGCTCTCATTGCTGAGACAAAACATGTGACACCCAAAATTAGGAAAGGAAAGGTTTATCTGGCTTACTGTTTGTGGAGGTTTCAGTCCATGATCAGCAGTCTCCAAGGCAGGTTGGCCTGGCACAGGGGCAGCAGCCAGCAAAAGCAACAAGTGCAACAGCAGGGAATGGCAAGCCTCTTTTCCTACCTTATATTGTACCCAGGCCACTCCTCCTCCAGGGTGGGTGTAACACTCAGAAAATCTTGTGCCCTCCTCTTGCCCAGGAGGAGGATATTTACAAAGAACCCTGGCTCTCTGCCCAGTCTCTTAGTTAAACATCTCAAGTGGACACATTATATCAACCATAACACATTCCTATTGTTTATTGAGTGTTATTGGTTTATTGTGTTAAAGCAGCACAGAGGGAAACACCCTACCACACAGTAACTACCACAGACACCTGTGCACCATCGTTTTTCAGTTGAGGTGGAGTAATTGAGTTATCATCAAGACCTGAAGGCTCCCCTGCTCGTGATGGCTTGGCCTTCTGGGTGGGAAGACTTGAACTTGACAAGAGAATGAGAAACGGAGATGGAGGGAAAGCCTGCTGTCATCAGTTGGTGTGGCTGGCTAAGGAGTAAGACAGAAGTGCACTTGAACATCTGGCAAGATCTCCAAGCTCACCTAAAGATGGAACTCTCTCTGGCAGTCCCTGCATCCACACTGTCTCATTCATTAGTTTTGCTCTCACTGAGCTCAGTGGGCTGAGTTTTCTGGAGTTGGGTAGCTCCCATCCTAATTGAGTTCTGGCGCCATTGTTATAACAAAGTATGTTGTGCATGCTCTAGGTGATTGTCATATCTGAGCTTAAAAGGCATGATGCCACATGTGTATGTGGAATAGAGCTCAAATCCAAAGCCTTTTACCCTAGAACATGTACCCTTCAGGGACTTCTAGTGCTCAATTCCTACAGGTCACCAGATGGCATCATGTGAGATTGCCTTAGTCTGTTTTCTGTTGCTATAATGTAATACCTGTGTATGGGTAGTTGTTAAAAAAGAGGGTGATTTAGCTGACTGTTCTAGAACTGTTGCTGTAGAAGTCTGTGATCATGGTTCTGGCCACTGTATTCGGTGAGGGCCACCTTACTGCCTCATAAGGTGGTGGCCAATGTGACATGGGCCATGAAGCCAGCATCAGAGTGAGCTCACTTTTATAACAGACCGAGACCCACAACAACCCATTGATATGTTAATCCATGAGTGGCTTAATCCACTCGTGAGGTCAGACTCTTGAAAACCACCACCTGGCAAAAGTCCCACCTTTGAATAGCATTATTATGTTTTACTTTTTTGCTACTGGGAATCGAACTCAGGACCTTGCACTTGCCAAGCAGGTGCTGTACTGCTGAGGTATATGCCCAGCCCCCATGAACATGATTTTGAAGAATAACATAAATTTGAGAGGACACATTCAAATCAGTGCAGAGGGGGCAGATTGGACTGACTTTATTCAGCTGTTGGTAGAGAGATTATTATTGCTATTTACTAATCCATTTTGTTTCAGAAAACCATTCCAATGATTTGTAGTACTGTTCCATTCTGTTGCTGTGTATTTCATCAAAAGATGACATTATCTTCAGTGGATTATTTGAATATCCATTTTGCAAAGATGAATGAACAGTGAAAGGATCAAGATGAGTTCTGATAAAATTATAATGCCTCCAAGAAATTAAGAATCAAAAGCACACCCTTGGAGTCTCCTGGCCTTATCAACACTTTGGCTTTAGTACTGTAAGATTATTTTGGATCTCTAAGAATTTTTAAGACAGTCAATCTGGTTTGTTTTAAGTCCCAAGTTTTTGGTACATCAGCAGTGGGGAACCAATACTGTCCATTTATTTTTCACTGCAGTCTCTATTTTCACAGAAAGATTTATGGAGATTTAAAAAACATTTAGACAGTCGTCTTTTGTCTAAGATACTATTTTCTAAATTATAATTTATTTAAATGCTAGGACCCAGGACTCAGTTGACTGCAAATTATTAAATATATTATCCGTTCTCCCAAAATGTGATTGGAAGCAGTATTTTATGGAGGAAAGCATGGACTTTATGATCCTGGCTCTTCCACACAATGTGTTTTTATAGAAAATATTTGAGATTTGTTCCTAGTTTACAGCAAGGAGACAGAGATGCTTCTCTTCCTTCCACTCAATGGATATTAAATCATTCCTGGGGTTTTTCCTGCAACTAACACATTTGTACTTTTACAGAAATCATACTAGAGATATTAAAGATAAGGTGCTAGTGCATGCCATATGTTAGTGAGTGAGAAGAGATGAAGCACAGTTTTGCTTTGGTCGTTAGAGAGTTCAATGACATTACATTAAGAGATAAATGTGGAGATCTTGGAGCTGTCTCTTGCGTTGTAGTCAGTGTAGCTGCTCAGGTGTTGACGTGATAAATAGACTCCTATAATATATTGATATAATTAAATATGCATGTGAAATTGACTGTGATGCAGACTTACAGTGCTCTTTTCTGATTTCTCCTTCACCCTTTTTATTATGTTCAGGTCTCTTTTTTGCATAAGGAATTATTTTAAATGTCTCACCTGTGGGCTGTCTTCTTCTTTGCCATCATAGCATACTCTGTCCACCCACCCTCTCAAAACTCTAGTCCTCTAGACAATTTTCAGGAAAGAGCCACCTGCCCTCTCAGACCTTACCCCGTGACTTCTGTTGAAAGCATGTGATGGACAGGTCACTCACCAAAATGATGGTGATTGAAACAGTTATGTAACACACATCACATTTGTGGTTATGATAGAAACCACATATATGCATGAGAAGCTTAATACGAGGGATGCTAAATGTGTATCTCCAGCGCCGGGACTTGTGTGAGAGTGACTGTTGCTCGTAAGCAGGCTCTAGCCATCAGATCGACAGGAGAAGCCTCTATAACTTCGTACTACAGCGTCCAAACCAGTCTCGTATCTGAGACATTAATGTGAAAACATCTGTTTCCCTTTTGCTACATGTTCTTGTAAAGCTTTCAGAATCTCCGCAACAATTCTGTGAGCAATCCTGTTGCCTTCAGGTCAGGGGAGTAGTTATGTGAAGGCATCTTAGTACCATGGAGACTAGAGAAAGACCACAGACCACGCAGAGTTGGAATCCCCTCTCCGCTGTACTAAAGACAGCTGTTTTCACCACCGTAAGCTTAAGACCCCATCAACAATCTTAAAGCAGTACAGCAGAAGACTAGCTACCATCCTTTCTGCATCCTTTATCATTGTCTCTATGCTGTAAATGAGCAAGCCCTTCCACATAGACTTAAGTTCCCGCTTGCAGCTCCATCCTCTGTCCTAAGCACCAGCCAGAGTACCTGCACATACCAAGGTGGGAGGCCTCCATTTTGCCCTAGCTCATCCTTCATGCATTGGTGGAGATTTAGGGTACCTAAGGCATATCTGGGCAAAGGCTCAAAGCAGGATTGATGAGTACCAGTATGTATGTAATTCTTTCATGTATCCTTGTGGTATGTCTGATACGATATTTTAAATCTAGTAGATGTGTAAAAATACATGTTCATTTATTATCCCAGCTAAGCCGTAGATACCAGAGGAAACTCTAGCATTTCAAATAGGCACCTTGGCCAGCCGTGGTGGCTCATGACTGTAGTTCGATCACTCAGGCGGCAGAGGGAGGAGGATCTCTGTGAGTTCAAGGGCAGCCTGAACTGCGCAGTGAAACCCTGTCTCAAAAATATATATTTCTTGAGTTCTTGGCTATTCATAACAGCTGATCTTACTATAAATTCAATGATATGCTAAATATTGCTTGACTGTTGGTGAGTTAACACTTATGTAAGTTAACATTGTTCTGGTTGTCTTGGATAATGTTATGTCATCCCCCGGTTTATGTTGATGACTAATTCTTTTGTTCTTGCCATTCTTATGGTAATGCTAATGGTGTCTCCAGAAGACAAAATAAATTAATCTATAGGCACCTCAGTCCTACCAAAGACTAATCGTGGAAATCATTTTAGGTTTTCTCCTGCAACTTTCGCCTCTTTACAGTTTCTATCACATTACTTTAGGCATGCATAGCCCATGAAATAACCCACTCCAACTTATGCAAACAGTCACACTGGTTATATTCTTAAGTACCCAGGTGCCTAAATATCATGGGACTATTACCCAAACATACTGGAAACAAAAGTTCTGAAAAGCAAATATGTCCTTCGTTTGCAGAGAAAGGGTCAGCTGCTTTGAAGTTTGCTTGGTCTTGTTCCATAAGCTTAGAAAGTGTAATGAAAGGCAGCCCTGGCAGAAACTCAAATTGTCAAATACAAGATAAAAAATTCTGTGTGTGTATGTATGTATATAGTTACTATATATGTATATTACTATATACATATATAGTAAGTGGAAAAAAAAAGCAAGCACCTAGTTTTGTCCACTGGTTTTCCATTTTGTTTTTACCTCTGCTGTGTGTTTAAACTCTATAACTCTGTAATATTCCTGTACTGCAGCTGACAAAGCAGCACATGAGAGAGTTGCCACAACATCAGCAGATGGTAGGAGGAGGACTGTTACCAGCTCCTCTGACTTCCAGTCCAGTGCATGTTCTGTTTCACCTTGGTTATCAAATTCTGGGACCCATGGACTCTTCAGAATCTGTAGTTGACCTTCCAGAAGGTCATGGCGTCCAAGCGCTCTATGTACATGTCTCTATTTTTTGCCTCAGGGGAAGCGAATTGGTATTTCCAGTTTGTTAAAAGGCTTTAGAACCTTTGCAAACCATCAGAGAGAAAAACAAACAAAAAAACCCCCACAAAAACAAAACACAGGCAATGGATACTATGAAGCCTGTGACCATTTTTTATTTAAAAGCATTCATATGCCTCTGCTAGAAAATGCCTTCAGAACCTTTTTTCTCACACTAGTTCCATATTAATTTTTTACGATGGCCACACGGATAGCGCTAATGAACAGGTGGTGCTACGTCTTTAGTTACATGCAAATGTGATGCGTGAATTGTGCAGTCTTAAGCAGCAGTTAGCCAGGATGAAAATCACAGGTGACATTTCTGTCTCTCTGAATACAAGGTTCTCTGTCGTAAAGGGCATTACCCAGAGACTGCAGCAGCCTTGAAGATGTTCTCCCTTGCTGTTCAGGACAAAGGCACCGGCTGGGGGACTGCCACACAGCAATCACGGGTCAAGGGCAGCCTCTGGGTTGGGAAGTGTGCATGGCTGTGTGAACCTGCTGAGCCAAGAGAGAGTGAAAACAATCAAGACAGGACTGGCCATCAAACTCATGACCTTGCTCTTGCCAGGTAGGCACTGTGCCGCTGAGCTGTACCCCTGACCCCCAAGAGAGGAATCTGAGAAATCTGTGTATCTCAGAAATAAAGAATCTGCAAACTGCTCACACCTGAGAGAGAAACTGGGCTATGCATGGATATCAGAGGAGCAGGGCAGTGACTGACTGGCTGACTGATGGGTCAGGTGGTAGTCAGATCACCTCGGAAGATGGGGTGCTACCTCCTTTTCATTTCAGACGTTAAATGCATAACTCAAAAGAGATGACTGCAGCATCCCCACCCAAAACCAGCAGTAGGAAGCCCCCTCGCTACCCCAGCCCCCCACAGGGGCTGCTGTGTTTCCTGTCTTTGCAGCTCTGCACTCTCCAGGGTTAGAGCTTGGGTCTCTAAGGACAGCGCCAACTGGGCAGGAGACAAGCAGGAAACCTGTTCAGAAGAAGCCACACTGCGGCCCCTGCGTTTCAGGGTTTTTGCAGCATCACCACCTCAGGCTTACTCAGCAGAGATATGGGCCAGCCCACAGTGTTGGGGGACTGAGAGGAGTGATTGCCTGTGACCCAAATGAGCAGGCACAGCCGTCCTGGGTTTCAAACAGTGGCTGGACCCAGACCCCCCAGGGATGAGGACCTGGGCCCTTTCCTCAGTAACCCCTGATCCCTGGCTGAGACAGTAGCTGGGCTGGGGAAGTAGAAGAGTCTATGCAATGTCCCCTGGGCTTTTCTGCAGAGTCCGCCAGAGAAGAAGCCTCAGGTGACCTGGAATTGAGATGACCCCAGACACAGGTGATGGGGAGGGGGTGGACCCCACTGTGCCCCCATGTTGCCCTTGGAGGCTGCTCTCCGAGAACTGTGGCTTAGAGGTGGGTGCTTTGGGGTGGCTGGGGCTTCACAGCGGCATGAGCCACATCGTGGAATGCTGGGCCAGAAGGCCAGGCATTCAGATCAGCCCAGAATAATGCTAACGGCCCGCTTGCAGGCTGTGTGCTGCAGGTTTGCACTGGGCTGCATTCAGCTTTGCTTTCTCTGTACTGTTTGTCTGTTTCTTCCTCCCTCCCTCCTTCCTCCTACTCTCTCCTCTACCCCTCCCCTCCTCCCTCCTCTATTTCTTCCTCCCTTCACCATCTCCCCCCTCCTCCATCTCCTCTCCTTCTCTTTCCTCTTCCTCCATCTCCCTCCTCTTTCTCCATCTCCATCTCCTCCTCCTCCATTTTCTCCATCTCCTCCTCCTACACTTTCTCCATCTCCATCTCCTCCTCCTCCATCTTCTCCTCCATCTCCTCCTCCTCCATCTCCTACCCCTCTTTCCTCCTCCTCCATCTCCCTTCTCTTCCTCAATCTCCTCCTCCATCTCCATCTCTTCTATCTGTATTTTCTCCTCCTCCATCTCCTTCTCTTCTATCTCTATTTGCTCCTCCTCCATCTCCTACCCCTCTTTCATCTCCCTCTTCTTCCTCCATCTCCTTCTCCTCCATCTCCATCTCTTCTATCTCTATTTTCTCCTCCTCCTCCATCTCCATCTCTTCTGTCTCTATTTTCTCCTCTTCCATCTCCTCCATCTCCATCTCTTCTATCTTTATTTTCTCCTCCTCCATCTCCTCCTCCTCCATCTCCATCTCTTCTATCTTTATTTTCTCCTCTTTCATCTCCCTCCTCTTCCTCCTCCTTCTCCTCCATCTCCATCTCTTCTCTTATTTTCTCCTCCTCCGTCTCCATCTCCTCCATTTTCTCCATCTCCATGTCCTCCTCCTCCATCTTCTCCATCTCCTCCTCCATCTTTTCCCTCTTCCTGTTATAAGGTAATGAAACTCCCAACCTACTATGTTTAATATGAGTTTGTGTTCTGCAAAATCAAAGTATGAATTTTAGGAATAACGGAGGTTAAGAGCAGAACATTTATTGAGAGAAAGAAAGCTTTTGTCTGAGAGAGACAGAGACAGAAGGGGTCCTGAGCAGGTTGCCCCAGACTCTGTCTTTTCTAGGGACTTTCATAGAGTAAAATCATGAGGTTAGATGGGTCAAAGGTGAAGAAAAATAGAAATTTGCAAGGTGGGCATGAGACTGGACAGAACTGTGGTCAACCAATAAAATTATTTGCTCAGGTAAAATTGATTAAATGAGCAAACGGGGGAGTGAGTCACATAGCAAGCAATTGGGCATGCTTAACAGTGGTGACTCCTCCTGTAGGGGGCAGGATGCTGACTCCTAACTTCCTCAGGGTAGTAGAAAAGTATTTGGACTGTGCATCCTTAGGATGTGTGTGCATTTGCTTCACCTTTTGTCTTGAGATCTGGCCCACAGCAGGTGACAGTCGTCTCTTCCAAGGCTGCAGGTATCTGAACTTCTGCTCTGGCTCCTTTGAGGGCCCAGCCCTGTCTGACTGCCTAGAATATTTCTAACTAGCTCAGCTGCCTGTGACCTCTTCCATCGACCTTCACCTTCCTCCTCCTCCTCTCCTTCCTCCTCCTCTCATGTCCTCCTCCATCGATATCCTCCATCTCCATTTCCCCCTCTCTTTCTTCCTCCTCTATCTCCTCCCTTCTCTTCTCCCCTCCTCCCTCCTCCATCTCCTCCTTCCTCCTCTTTTCCCCTCATCCTCTTTACACGTCCTCCATCTCTTCCTCCAGCCTCTGCTTCCTCCTCCTCTCCTTTCTCCTCCTCTTCCTTCATGTATGTTGATTCATAATGAATGCTTCTTCCCTGTTACATTGCACTGTGGGTTTCCAAAGACCGTCATCTGCAGTGCATTAGACCTCTAAAAAAGCTTTAAGAAGAGATTCTTAGAATAGATTTCTAATTCTTGTTGGCTCAACTTTTTCAAAAGCCCTCCCGCTTCAGCATTTATCTGTATGACAGCAGATTAGACTAGATTTAGCTACAATATACTAGGTAAGGGTAGATTGGATTGTAGAGATATTTTGTTTATAGCCCATAAAGTGTATGGACATTTAACCAGTAACATAAATAGGTGAATTGTTTTAAAGCAAGCTAAAATACACTATGCTGTGTTTTGGTGAGTTCTTTGTATGTGAGATTCATTTACCTCTTGTCTAGTGAATAAAAATGCCAGGTACTATTGAAATTGACTTGATATATTTTTTTTCCTGCTTTAAAGGGAGGGTTTGTGTTATCTGTTATTTAGGTTTGGTATATGATGACTTTGCTGTGGACATTTTCATAAAGTGATTTGATATTTTGTTAACTAGAAGCTAAAGATTTATTTTTGTATATTTTATGTTACTTCAGTCAGCGTTGTAAGCATAAGTTCACTTTGAACAGGCTTGCTGTGACATGAACCGAGCTCTTCCTGTAGGGGGCAGCGTCCTACAATAAGAGACCAAATCTGTGTCCTAACCTCTTACACATTTATTATTGGGCTTTCTGATTTAGTATTTTAAAAATTTATTTGCCATCGTGTGGCAGCAGATTTGCTTGTTAGTGACAATATTCACCAGAAACTGATCTTATTCCTTTATTTTTTTAAGAAAATGTTTACTATGGTACATTAGAATTACTCTCTTCAGTATTAAAAAACACTCAAGTGGTAAAGTAAAGCCTTAGATTTCTGAAGCTCATGCTTTTATTATTATTGTTATTATTATTATTTGGCTTTGCAAAAGCAGAAAGCCAAGCGTTTTGTGGGCCGAGACGCTGGGAGTGACGCCTGGCTGTTCCATCTCATACTTGCTAGATGTCCACTAGAAGTTCGTGTTCCCTAAAATCGAAGAATGAATTTTAGGAACAACAGAGGTTAAGAGCAAAATATATTTACTGACAGAAAGAAAGCTTCTGTCTGAGAGAGACAGAAAGAGTCTTAGCGGGTTGCCAAAGACTCTTGTCTTTTCTGGGGACTTTTATAGAGCAAAACCACGAGGCGAGGCAGGTCCAAGGTGGGGAAAACTGGGAACTCACAAGGTGGGCATGAGGTGGGACAGAATTATAGTCAACCAATAAGATTAATTATTCAGAAAAATTGATCAAATCAGAGACAAATGTGGAAATCTATCATGAGTCACATAGCAAGTGGGCATGAATTCAGAGCAGAGACTCTTCCTGTAGGGCTGGGATGGTGACTCCTGACTTCCTCAGGGTGATGGAGACCTATTTAGAATATCAATTCCTGGTGCTTATCCTTAGGAAGTATGTGGGTGCCTTTGGTTGATCTTTTGTCTTGAGGCCTGACCCACAGCAGAGGTGTCTGTGTCTCCCACAGTTGCAAGGTATCTCATCTTCTGCACTGGCTCCTTCAGCCCTGTCTGACTCCCTGTAATTTTTCTGTCTCACTCAGCAGCCTGTCCTAACAGTCTGATACACAGTTTCCATGTACCTAATATACACAGGACCAGCTGGCCATCCCCAATCATATAGAAGAAGGAAATGTATGTCCTTCATTGCCCCTCCCTGACTGCAACCCCAGGGACCACAGAATGGCTTGCACTGACCTGGCGGTGGAAAAAATAATAAATAAAAAAATAGCTGTGTGGGGGAGGCTTCCATTCAGAAACTGGTAGACAGCATGGGTTCAGGATTAGAAGGGAAATGGGTTCTCCTAGATAAGGCACCAATGAGGACTAAATGGGTGTGCCTTCCCGGTAAGTCACGTGTGGAGACCTAATCCCTAATGTGATGGTAGTAGGGGCCATCTCACCTTCGGGAGGAGATGAGGTCAGGATGGCTGGGCCTTGGAGAATGGGGTTAATGTCCCAGTGCAAGAGAGCTCCCTGCCCCTGCCCTCATGTGAAGTCACAGAAAGAAGGCGCCCTGTATGAAGCAAGAGGTCCACTTGATCTGCCATGCCTTGGTCTCGGTCTTCCTTTCTTCTTTATAAGCCATCCACCCACTGGTATTTTGTTACAGCAGCCAAGAAGGATTAAGGTGGCCCTTACACAACTATCTTGTTTTTCCTCCTGGCATGGGACATGGGAAAAAAGCCATGTAATAAGGAAAGTTGGAAGTCCAGAGAGTGTGTATAATTTCCAAGGAATTCCCCTCTCCAAGCCTGGTGTTGTGGTTAGA